AAAATAAAAAAGTCCTTGGATATCAAAAGTTTCTTAAAACACACTTATAAATTCGCTGTTGTATGAAGAGAGTGTGGGTCATCTTCTCCCTTTGCCGTAATAAAGTTAAAACAGGAGGTCCAGCTGACTGATGTTTGGTGTCATCAGACCAGATAGAAAAAACCCTGTGGGGAAACAAAATCCGCTGGCTTTATGTGGAAAAGCAAAGTGCTCGCAGTAAAATTGAGACGTAATTTTTTCTATATGCTAAAACATAAAAAATTCATGATGCTATATCTCACCCACTGCGGGACTGAGGACAATTCTATTAATAATGGAAGTTGAGGACTACTAATGCTAATATTTGGTTTTGACAAAATGACTGGCACGGATATCTTTCATATCAAATTTGATGGTCGAACTTTAAGAAAATGACTTCATTTCTGACATCATTTTTCCAATAAAATCATTCATTGCCTGGATTATTAGGCCCGATAATGCTCCATGGAACCGCCTTCCAGCAACCCTGTGTAGGGCCGGTACTGATGATTCAGGAGTTCCACAAGGATCAGTCCTTGGACCTGTCCTTTCTGTAATGTATACTAAGAATTTAGGACAACTAATCGATAATCATGGTTTCTAGGACGACATTCTTATACCCTTTCAAAAACTGTTCCATCCCGGCCCCTAATTATTCGGACATAAATTGTGTACACATGACATTAAAGATAGAATGACAAGAAATATGTTGAAATTAAATGTAAATCTGAATGTATTTTATTTGGTCCAAATACACATCTGAAAAATACAAGTTCAAATGATGTGGTTGTACGAGATGCAATACTTGTACCATGCAACACTGTGACAGTCACATTAGTGAAATTTGTCGAAACTGTTATCTTCAGTCCAGGAACATTGGCTATATAAGACACTTAATTAGCTAGGAAGCTGCTGCTACACTTGTATGTTCTCTGGTATTCTCAGGGATTGACTACTGTAACAGCTTGTTAGTAGAAACATCTAGTGCCAATATTAAAACAAAAACTTGTACGAAATACCGCAACTCAAATTGTTACCAGATCATCAAAATACTCCCATATTACTCCTGTTCTGAAATCACTCCATTGGCTGCCAATAAATGAAAGAATCATCGTCAAAGTCTGTCTTTGACGTATCAGTGTGTGAATGGCTTACCTCAAATATATACAAATCTACTCTTATGCAAATACAAGTTCCCTAACTTCTAGCCGAACACACCTCCATCAGTTCTGTTGCTCAAGGTGGAAATTAAAATCATTTGGATACGGATCGTTCTCAGTGAATGAGCTTAAACTGTGGAACAATCTTCCAGAGATCATTAAATCATCTCAAACTCTTTCTTGTTTTAAATCAAGACTTAAAACCCATCTTGTTATCAGGATTAATTAAATTAATTTAATTGTGTGCGCAGCGAACATGCCTCAGTGCATGGAGTATGTGCACAATATAAATGTACATATTATTATTATTTGTCAGATCGAAGTTAGGTTTGTACTCCAACATCCAAGATGGCGGTTGAAATCAGCTGTTCATTTTCCCGTCATTTTCCACAAATAAAATGCGGTTTACTAGCCAGTTATCCGAAAGAAACTACAATAGCATATTCTGAAACAATGGCCAGAAAAATACCTCTGTGGCCATTGTTGGATTGACTTCTGATACTTGAGTTTTTGAAGGAGCGTATCTGTTCTTCCCGTTCAATCAAATCTCTCCTACATGTAAGTACAGCATCTTGACAGCCCTTCGTTTAATCTGGAATCTTTCCTAAAACTTTGGACAGTGATTTAAGGTATTAAAAACGATGAAAGTATTGTTCGTCTCCAAACAGTATTGTTTACATTGTAACTGTTTTGATAGCCTTGTTTGTCACGCAATTATTTTTGCTGTAATATTCTGCTATGCACTGGTTAATTTTGTGAATTGTGACGTAATGTTATGTAAACATATTCGGAGCTCTGTTTAAACCCGAATGATATTTTTACGCAGTTAGGTATTGGTTGTTAATCGGACTATTGACCAGTCATAACAGAAATTTGCTTTCATTGAGTGTGATTAGGTCTAATCAAACGAAACACTGCAAGGAGTATGCTACAATAGTGAAGTTAAGCACATATACTATTTGTTTTTGTCTTTTTGAAATATCACTTGATTTGTTTGTCAAGTATAGACAGATGTATATGACTACTATATGCTAGTATAAAATACACTATTTAGTTTTTACGATTTGCTGTTCAAAAATTCATCATCCGCCTACTAGATCATGAGATTATATATCGCCAAATTAATAAAATATTGAAAATTAACCTAGATAGATTAATTATATTTACCAAGAACAGCTCTTTTGGCATTTATAGTAAATTAAACTTTTCAAACTTCATCCTTTAAAAATTTTAACGGTGTAATTGTGAGCTCAGTTTTCATGATTAGATAGATAGTAGATAGCAAAGTATAGCGATATTTTTTTTAATTTGAAATACTTATTGGTAATAAGTATTTGTAGTTTTGATAATGGAACATTTTTTAAACGTGAATTATTTGATGAAAGTATATACCGGTAATGCGTTTATATTTATTTGTTTATTTCTATTTTTATTATGGCTTGTTCTTAATGGAACTGGAACCCACATTAATTTGGTTCCCAGTGCCCAGGGTGTAAATAAAGCGTTTGGTTTTTGTTGAAAATCGTTATTTTTGATGAAAATCGTTATTTTTGGACAAAAATGGAGATAATTTAGTATTAAACGGGTTGTGTGCCACCCATTTTTTTTCTTGATCTTAATTCTATAGATCATTGCCTTTTCAGTCAGCATTTCAAAAAATTTCTTATACCCGCAGTGGGTAAAATATAGATAGAATAAAATGACATACCTAAATTGAGCTATTTTGGTACCTTGCAGCACTAAGTCCCTATATCAAAAACCCCTCAATGAAAGTCCATCAAACTTTCAGAATGAATACTCACTAGACATATATACTGCTACCCTATAAAGTTTCATTTATCTACTTGCCATAGTTTAGTTGTACCCCATAATTGAAAAATGGCCTGAAAATGATGGGTTATTTTTGGCTTTTTTCAGTCTTAAAATTTCAATTTTTTTCTACACTCTAAAAATGGTTTGATTGATCTAAAATTGTGGCAGTGGTGTTTGGAGGGGTTACCCATCATACATAAAAAAAATGGTAAAAATCGATCACCCACCATGTGCCGGTCACTGCATGGTTCTCTTGCAAACGCATTCTTAAAGAAGCTAAGTCTCTAACTCAATATCATCCAAAATCTTCGACAATGAAAACACAAATTATTTGTCAATTTAAATCAACATTGATGTTGTGATATTACCGGGAAAAGATGGGTTTCTGATAATCCAATATTTAAGACAAAATAAAAAAAATTACCGTTGGTACATGAATCATGTACCATAATGCGTTTCAGGCCCATTTTTAACAAGGGACTTGAAGAACGAGGCTAGACGGTGCCGCATAATTCTTACCTGGAGAGCAACGCAATACATGCTATGTAGACTAGAATAACCAGACGCTAGAGATATACTTTTGATTGAGACTTCAGGCGTATTTCGCCGAACATAACTGATTTGAAATAAGAGTAAAGACGGAAATGATTGAATGTAAATCAGTTTATATACATTCATATTACATTATTATATGCGTTGTGACCCATTTGTGTCGATTTCTAGGTCCCAAATATTAGTGATTTAGCTCCTTTAATAATGGTTGTGTAGGTCCAAGTCCCTATTCCTTTATTTTGTCATTATTTTTCCCTAGTATATTATTATATAAAATCATGCAGTAGACTGAACCGACATACTGTCCGTTAATTTATTCTGATATTATTAATGCATCCAGGTGGATTATGGGCCAACCTGGTCTACACAACCAGTTATCTTTCCTTGACTAGTGCTCTTTTAACGCAACTAACGCAACAGTTAATTCCTGATTCTGCTATGAATTTTGAGATAGCTTCATAAATTTTATATGACATATTCCGATGTCTGTTACTTTATCTGGCTTCCTATTTATGTGTAAATACAACTTAACTGTCACTCCAGTTATTTACATGTTTTTATTATTAATCCATAACAATTAATTACCTGCTTATTTAACGCTAAATAATTGATTACATGTTTATTTAGCAATAATTAGGTGTTTAACAGTTTATTTAAAGTAGCTAAGTCTCTAACTCAATATCATCCAAAATCTTCGACATTGAAAACACGATTTATTTGTCGGTTTAAATCAACACTGATGTTGTGATATTACAGGGAAAAGATGGCCTTCTGGTATCCAATATTTAAGACAAAATAAACATTTTACAATTGGTACACGAATCGTGTACCATAATGCGTTTCAGCGCTATTTGTAATAAGGGGCTCGAAAAACGAGGCTAGGCATATTCCACAAGTCATGTCAAACGGTAATGCTATATTCTTATCTGGAGAGCAAGCCCAATAAATAATATTGGCGTAGACTGGAATAACCAGACGCTAGAGATTGAAATTCGATGGAGAATACTGGCGTATTTCGCCGAACCTAACTGATTCAAAATTACAGTAAAAACAGAAACGTTTGAATGTGAATCAATTTATATACATTCATATTACATTATTGTATGCGTTGCGACCCATTTGTGTCAATTCCTAGGTCCCAAATATTAGCGACTTAGCTCCTTTAAGTTAGATGTACAACTTAGTTAATTAACTGCTATTACAATAACAAAGGGGATGACACAGCTCGAGATGAAACGCCCAGATCAAAAAATAGGTCAGAATGAAACTGCCCATTTTGAAACGGTGTTGGGATGAAAAGACCCACACTCATTATAAACAGGCCTAGTAGGCTTCTAATTTTAAACAATTTGTTGTCACATAGAAAAAATAAAACATATTGTGTACTCGTTGGTTGCCTATCGTCTAAATGATGATCATGTATCTATATTCAATTATCAAATTGTTATTTATTTTCAGATTTTCTCTGCTATTATTAGAGCCTGGTGAAATATATTTTGAAGATTTTAGTGTCTATTATTATCCAGTTGGATTGCCTGAAGCTGAAGCGATTAAAAAGTAGGTCCATAAATTTAAAATTAATCGAGTTCTGAAAAATTCTAGATCATGTGGGATTGGGTGGCAGAGTGGTCTAATGTGTGCACTCTTGGTCATATAAGCTCTGTCAATGAGTTAAGTCATAGTAACAATTCTACCTCTCATTGATATGACTGAGAACAACCATCACAATAAATCAACAATTATAGATATTTAAAATCGCCGCACAACAGCAGTACAAAAACAGACCTTAGTTCGAAATGTTAAACACTTTGGTACTGGTCTAATGTGTGCACTCTTGGTCATATAAGCTCTGTCAATGAGTTAAGTCATAGTAACAATTCTACCTCTCATTGATATGACTGAGAACAACCATCACAATAAATCAACAATTATAGATATTTAAAATCGCCGCACAACAGCAGTACAAAAACAGACCTTAGTTCGAAATGTTAAACACTTTGGTACTGTCTTTGCAGAATAACTATGCATGCTCTCTCTGCCTATTATCGCAGAGGCCAACATGAAAATTGACGAATATATTTTCATTGATTTAGTTTTATCTTTACAGAAAACAACGAGGACATTTAAAGATTTGTTCAAAGTCCATTGTTTTTGTACCAAAAGAGATTCATTTACCAATAATTAAGGTTCGTTTGAGAGAATCTGATAATAAAATATAATCTGTAATTTTTAATAACTTCTAAGAGTTTATGTGCAGTGATCTCAGTAATTATACAGCAGGCTGTTTACACATTTTTGATCTCACTAGCTAACTCTATTTTCATTATATTTTAGTTTCCCATGAAATATGTTACTCTTATTGAAGAATGGTCTGGTGGCCTTTTCTCAAGGTATGTAAATATAACAGACATAGTATACTGTATTAAAGGCTTATGTACCGCATTATCGTCTCGTTTAAGAGCTTATAGTTTATAACATACTTTACCCACAATGAAGAGAATATTATAAGATTTGTATATGTATATATTTGTATGAAATAGTGCAGTTATCTGTACACTAATTATCCTTCTTTTCTTTCTTGATAGACTTGATGCCAAAGATAAAGTATTGAAGATTGAATCAGAACAGATGATAGAAATGAAAGAAAAGAATATTATAGCACCTTTTGTGTTTAGGAAGGTAATTCATTAATCAGTATCTTGTTTTGATCAACAACTGAGAGGGTTTATTTTGTTTCAAATAAAATTTGATATAAAAATGTGTCTATATTTGTTGTAGGAAAAAGCAGAATATATATTTTCTCTCAACTATGCTACACTAGAAGATACATTACCACAGATGTGTCAATTACAAAGGGCTTCCACACTACCCAAGTCAGATCAGTCAGCTATGGTATATTTATTTTTGATTCATATTTAAGGGGGTTAGGTGGCATGCCATGGTTTCAATTCCCAGCTTGTATGTGACAAGGAGTAGGACTGCCTGTCCGACCTTATGTGTTTTCTCTGGGTTTCATCCCACTGTTAAAGGCCCCTACATGCAAGTGAATTTTGAAACAAAATTTAATCCATTGTTGAGTCCTTAAATGATCAAGTTTGTGTCGACTTGCCTTTAAACCACATCTCTCTCTCTCTCTCTCTCTCTCTCTCACTCTGGTTGAACCACATTTAAGAGGCAAATAAAAATAAATGTGTGATGTTGCAAGATGACAACTTAATGGTGTGCCATGATAAGACTTATTATTATATTTCTCTCTCTCTCTCACTCGTTGAACCACATTTAAGAGACAAATAAATATAAATGTGTGATGTTACAAGATGACAACATATTTTTTTAAATGGTATGCCATGATAAGACTTGATCTTTTATATATTCAATAAATTATAGAACCTACACAAAATATTTTTTCCCCCTATACAACAGTCTTATCTGGTAAACTTCTTAATACAGATACTATGTTTTGACCTCTTCCTGTAAGCACAAATGAAGTTCTGTCTCCATGGTTATTACATGTCTTCTGGCATGGTCTTTTTTTTCATAGGATACTGAACTCATCTAAAAATTCTGCTATTTTTGATTTCAGATAAATGCTATTGTTCTTTCTAGACAATCTAGAGTAAAATTTAACACTAGTTGGTAAGTAGCTTAATTTTGGGAAAGAAGATCCAATTACCAAAAAGCACTAAAACTGGACTTGATGGCTCCAGCTAAATGAGGAACATGGGGTCAAAAAACTATAACTATGAATCAATGTAAATTCTGTATTAAAAGGCCTTTAAATTGATATATTATGTATGCATTTATCTTAGAAAATGTCGGAGATATTTGGCTTTGAAGTTTGTTTAAGTTACACCAGATTGAATATTACCAGAACCCACAAAGCAGTACTCAATAGCAAACAAAAATAGTCAATTTGTTACGTTTTGGCCTTTTGGCTTTGGGGAATCAAAACTAAGGTCATTTTTGAAGAAAAATATGCTGAAAACTCTAAATTACTCAAATTAGATTTTATACATGTTATGTAATGGATCTCAAAAAAAAGACCCACACCATCCATGTGTTTCATTTGGCAAGAGCTGGTCATATATGTAAATATTTGAAATTTATTGTGTTAGAAGATTAGTGTTATTAATTATGTGTGTATTTTAATATCTAAATACTAACTGAAGACTACCTTTCAGGTTAGAAGATTTGTATGAAAGAATAGTTCTGGAATCAAGAGGGGATCGGATCACTCCATTATCAACTAATCCCGGTAGAATTATGTTAACATCATCAAGGCTCTACTTCCAACCATTTAATAATATAGACAGGGTAACTCTCAACCTTCACACAATTATTTTGAATTTTGATTTATAAATATGTGTAAAAATTGCTTCAATACTTATGTTAATTGTATGATGTTGAAAGATCAGAAAATATGCTAGAAGCACGCCAGTCGGAATGAAGTTCACATTGAGGCAGCTGTCCGCATAGTAAGCCAAATTGGGGTCCTGGAGCTTTAAACTAATGAATACTGTACATGTTTTCAAATTATTAGGAGATGTGGGGGGAGGCTGTGAAGCCCCCTTCGTTTTGATGGTCCTGAGAAGTAACTTTTACAGAAAATCCTTCAAGTATGAAATATAATTTATGCATACCGAAAAATTATATAATTACTGAAATGTAAATGAGTACTCATGAAATTGTACGGTAACAGTTATCATTACGGTTTGGGTACTTGTTTCAAGTCTTCGTAATTATTAGATAAATTATGATTGAATTTAATGTTGTAACATTTTCCTTGTTTACATTTGTTTAATGTATTACAGTGGCCTGTATTAAAGATCAGATTAAAAGATATAACACGAGTTATTAGACGAAGATTTCTTCTTAGACAGTTGGTTAGTTCGTTTTTATACCTATCCCTTTCCACCTACATATTGTATGGACCAGTTAATGACAGTCCTGCACATATGTGGATAACAGAATATAATTGTTATAGATAACAACTTAATAACATGTACCGTTTTGCAAGAACTTCCCTTTCCACCTACATATTGTATGGACCAGTTAATGACAGTCCTGCACATATGTGGATAACAGAATATAATTGTTATAGATAACAACTTAATAACATGTACCATTTTGCAAGAACTTCAGATTTAAATATTTAGGCCAGGGGTGGGAAATCGCCCCCCTCGAAAAAATCTGGAAAAAATATATGTTATTGTACATGTAAAAATTAGAAACTGCAAAATTTGTGGTCTGTAGCTTGAAAATTTACTAAGATACAGGCATTTGAGTTTCATGAGTTACCAATGAGTTTTCAAAACAAAATATGTATCAATAATATACATCTCACATTTGGTTGTTTTAAAGAAATTTTTGTGTAGATAACGAATCTGCAATCAGATTACAGGTGAGTGGTAGGGTTCCAAAAGAAATTGGTGTGATTGTATATTTTCTGGATTTTGTAGTGCTCCAGGAGCTACAAAGTAATAGATATAGACCCAAATCTTCGCCTATCCACAAATTGGCGGTAGTACTAGGGTTACCACAGTCCCGTTTTTTTGGGTCCTTTTTGTCGTCCTGTACCGATGCCTCTCATGTGCCTAAATGTCCCGGTTTTTAAATCAGATGTTTTTCAATTGAAAATAATAACACAAAACACATAAACTAGTGATTAATTTTAATGTATAAAACAGCGTTTGCTACAAACACTCTTACTTCAGCACACAACTTCTGATCTAAATATAGTTCAGTGCATAATACATTCGGCAAACCTAAGCAGGCGCCGGTATTTCACAAGGATTCTAAATCTACACGTATATTTGACATTCAGGCGTGTTTTAAAGAGTGAAGACCTTTTGACTTTGAATTTGACCTTGTAGACCATGTGACCTTGAGATGAACTTTCATGAAGAATTTAGCTCAACATGTTTTCTACACATTGTCAAACAATTGGAGGTACAATATCTTTTATAAACATGCAAAATCAACATATATATTCACACTGGAGGCTGAAAATCACTGTCTTTGCACTTAAATCAGGATTATGTTCATGGATAATTGACATGGAATGACCCAAACCACACATTTTGAAAAAATCCAAAAAATATTGAGATGGCATGGGACAAGAATGGCTTTAACATATGTTGGAGACATAAGCAGTGGCTTCGCCAGCCGTCGGTAATTGGAGGGGCAAAGCTGGGGCAAAGTCCAAGGTTAAGGGGGCAAAGGCACGAGCTTCAACTAGGGGTATGGGGCCTCCCCCAGAATATTTTGAAAAACAGGTTGCCGGAAATGCAGCTTGGCAGTATTTCAGGCACTGATCGATGAGGTAAAGTGTCAAACGAACGGACTTGTGAATCACGACGAAGCCCACTCACGAGCGTCAAAGTAGGGAGTCCTCCCCCAGAAAATTTTGAAAAATAGACTGCCGGAAATGCTGTCTTACAGTATTATGTCAGGCACCGATCGTCGAGATAAATAGATCTGCCGAGATACCATTCGTTGCCTGATCACTAGTTTATCCGACTAGAGAACCAAATGTCAAACGAACGGACTTGCGAAACTCAACGAATTCCCCTTGTGAGCCCAAAGTAGTGAGTCCATTGGGGATCTCGCCAAGAAAATTTTGAAAAATAGACTGTCGGAAATGCTCTACAAAATGCAAGTTTATGACTGAGTGGGGATGTGGGATTTATTCACCGTAGAAGGTATTGATTACCGAAACGTATCGCAAATACTTTTTTTTATTTTCTAAAATTATTGGGGGGGGCAAACAGAGGGCAGACCAGATTAATGGGGGGGCAAATGCCCCCCCTTGCACCGCCACTGGACATGAGTACAAACTAAATTACACCAATTTTTATACGCCCACATTAAAATGTGGTCGTATATCGTTGTCACCCCCGTCCGTCCGTCGGTCAGTCCGGCTTCCACAATTGGACGCTCTATAGACTAAAGTTAATATCCGATTGACTTTAAATTTATACTCAGTGTTTAAGGTCATGAGACGAAGAAGCTTATTGATTTTCAGTGATTTTCGATAATTACTGCCAGAGTTATGGCCCTTGATCACTTCAAAAAATCTTGTGGATGCTCTAGAGGTCAAAGTTAATATCCGATTGACTTTAAATTTATACACAGTGTTTAAGGTCATGAGATGAAGACGCTCTATAGACTAAAGTTAATATCCGATTGACTTTAAATTTATACTTAGTGTTTAAGGTCATGAGACGAAGAAGCCTATTGATTTTCAGTGATTTCCGATAATTACTGCCAAAGTTATGGCCCTTGATCACTTTGAAAAATCTTGTGGACGCTCTAGAAGCTAAAGTTAATATCCGATTGACTTTAAATTTATACACAGTGTTTGAGGCCATGAGATGAAGAATCATATTGATTTTCAACGATTTCAGATAATTACTGCCAAAGTTATGGCCCTTGATCACTTTGAAAAATCTTGTGACGCTCTAGAGGCTAAAGTTATCATCCGATTGACTTCAGATTGATACACAGAGTTTAAGGTCTTGAGACGAACAAGTATATTGATTTTCAATGAATCTTTATGACTTGAACAGCTAAATCCATGATGTTAAAAGTTTCGTATACTAAACGTTAGCATGGGCCCAAACTTTATAAAAACCAAACAAATTCTAATTGTTTTCTGATAATTACTTAATGAGTTGTTACTCTTAATCAAATTTTAATGTATTATAAATGTTTCATTACCGAAAAAAGTAAAAATATGCGACAACTCTTGTTGACTGCCCGGACGATATAGCTGCTGTGGGCGTATGTTTTGTTGCCTGGCAACCTATCTTTAGAATTTTAGATGCTCATCTACTGGGTTCTTTCGGCTCGAAAATACGAGGCAATTTTCAAAAATTTTTGTCTAAAACCATATTCGAGGCCAATTTTCTGGGAATCTAGTGAAGACTGATGCATTCTCATATGTTTCATATGTAGTACTACCGGCAATCTCTGGATAGGCCAAAATATGGGTCTATATCTATTACCTTATAGCTCCTGGAGCACCACATAATCCAGAAAATATACAATTACACCAAATTGTTTTCTGTTTTCATGGCCAAGTAGCATGCGAACCCTATCACTCACCTTTAATCTGATGGCAGATTCGTAATCAACACACAAAGTTCTCTAATGCTACCAAATTTGGGCTGTATATTTTTACTAGAAAGGTAAAAACGAGATATCTGAAACTCGAGTAAATTATTGATACAGAATTTGTTTCGAAAACTTATCGGTAACTCATGAAACTCAATGTCCGTATCTCGGTCAATTATTATGCTACAGATTACAAATTTTGCACAGTTTCTAGTTTTTGCATGTACCCCTTTATTTCTTTATATGTTTACTTAGAGTCCTTAACTTGAAAGAAGTATGTTTAGATTGTAAGAGCTGTCCGAGTTGAGTTCCAGCAAGTAACTATTATTCTGAAAATCAGGGGTCTACTTGATATTTTCCCATAATTTTAATGAGAAAATTCTTTACAGATATAATGGTTATAATACTATTAGTAAGTGCAGGCAGACTACACTACACATAATTTATACAAAAACAAATATATGAACAAGACAATACGCTGAAATCACAAACAAACGAACAATTCAAATAAAGTGTATGGGTCCCGGGGGGCTAGCCGTAAGCGTCCACTGCGCTGTACAGTCCCGGCCGGGCCTGTAGTGACACAGACTTCACTCAAATTTGAAAACGATCAGGAATATAACCCAGAGAAACCATTGTTTAATGCCAGCATGAGTCATCTGCTGTATGTTACAAGAAATATGAATGTAAGCATATTGAAGTAAAATTTAACTACACAAGTAACCGCTTCGGTGAAATGTATAAAAAAACAGGTAGTATAAAACTAAATGATTTAAGTCAAATAAGAAACATTTAAGTAATCAAACACATGTTTCACCAAACACAAAAACAGAGCAAAAAAACAAACAATATTGAATACAAAGAAGCAGATGAGAAAATGTAGACAGTCTCGAAGTCTGCTGACTGAATGATGTGACCTAAAAAAGGTGGTAGGTTGCCAATGACGTCAAAATTTAGAAGGTGACAGAACACCACAATAAAAAGGGCGATAATCCAGATAAAATAACGCCAAAAGGTTAATAAATTATCAATTTAGCAACTAATCGGAATTATTCAGTTATGTAATTGCACAAAATATAATACCCCAAACAAGAAATGCAAAACAGGTATGCTGAAGAAATCGTACTATGTACAATATAAGTGTATTTATAAAGGCATAAAATAAGGGCGATAATCCAGATAGGATTAGGTAACTACAGAAAATTTAAAATAGATATTAAATTGAATCATTATCCAATATGTAGTCGGTTATATAATTATAAGGAATGTCAAACTTGGTATGTTGAAGAAATGGAAGTTTCGAAATTTCTTTTAAAATGCGTAATTGTGTACCGCCTTTGGCAGTTCACTTAAAATAAAGAGATTTTGTTCGGGAAAGAAATAGTTCTTTATCGTTACATATTATCAAAAATCGTAATGCCTGTGAATAGAAAACACTATATAGCGTGGTATCTGGTATGTTACTATAAACTGACGGGTATTTTACTACTTCAAAACCAAATTTGTCCATTTTATCGAAAATGTAATTTTATAATGTAATAATTTCAGGGATCTACTGGTACTTGATATTTTCTCATTAATTCTATACAGATATAGTGTTATACTATATAATGTCATGATTTCAGGGGTATACTTGATATTTTCTCATTAATTCTATATACATATTGTATGATACTATAATATAATAATTTCAGGGTTTAGAGATATATTGTAATGATAAAGCTCAGTTAGCACACCTGTATCTCTCCTTTAAAACAGAAGAAGATAGAAATGATTTATATGAAAAAATGCTGTTAATACCAGGTATGTATTCTTGATTTACTATGTTAATATCAGTATCTTTATTTTATAAAAATATTTACTTGTATTCCAAAATCAGATCTGTTGAGCGATCACTAAATTTCAAAATAACGTATTTAGGTTTCTATTGTTCCTCAGCAAAACCATGAGTGAACTACCTGATCAGATTGGAGAATATCCAGTGAGCGATAAGATCTATGTCGTTACTAGGTCACTACAGATTTTAACCTGGCATATTGTACCTACGGGAAACAAACATTGAAAACAAGTATCCCTGTATTTATTTTGATCAAACTTCAGATTTTTATATCGGATTTGGGAAAAGAAAAAAAGTTTCAAAATTTTAAAACAATGATGTTATTAAATTAAAATTGACTTTAATTCTTATTGCTGTGTATAAATGGTAATGTATATTAATAGAATACAAAATAAATTGTATCTTTCAGATTTAGAATTAGAAGATTGGGGACAAGAAGACATGGCCTTAAAATGGCAGAGTGGTCATATCTCTAATTATGATTATCTTCTTTATTTAAATAGGTAAGCCTAGTTTTTTATATGCCCACATTTTCATGTGGAAGTATTATGCCGTCGCCTCTGTCCGTCCGTCTGTCCACAATTTGTTTGTGGACGCTCTACAGGTCACAATTTTTATCCGATTTTGACAAAACTTGAAATATAGGTCTATCTCCCAAAGATCTTGATTCCTGTCGATACTGGCATATATCGGACCATAACTTCGTGGATTATGGGCCCTGATTGTACGAAAAATCATGTTTTTAGCTTGTGGACACTCTAGAGGTCACAATTTTCACCCTATTTTGATGAAACTTGAAATGCATGTTTAAAACACAAAGATCTTGGTTCCTTTTGATATTCGTGCATATCGGATCGTAACTTCCTGAATTATGGCCCTTGATTGTACCAAAAATCGTGTTTTTAGCTTGTGGTTCCTCCAGAGGTTATAATTATTATCTGATTTAAAAAAAAATGATCGAACATATCACCGTTACATCACAATGTTTGTTGAGTTCAAATTTCATGAAAATCGAACCAAAACTGCCGGACAAAATGGCCACCCCTCGTATGCAAATAGTGTAAACATCTGGTATATCAAGGTTGTGGACCCTCTAGAGGTCACAATTTTGATCCGATTTTGATGAAACTTGAAATGCATGTTTATATCCCAAAGATCTTGGTTCCTTTCGATATTTTCTCATATCAGATCGTAACTTCCTGAAATATGGCCCCTGATTTTACCTTTTTTAGCTTGTGGTTCCTCTAGAGGTCACAATTATTATCCGATTTAAAAAATATTCGAATATATCACCGTAATTATGGTTGAGTTCGAATTTTGTGAAAATCGGACCAAAACTGCCAGGCAAAATGACCCCCCCCTCATACGCAAATAGTGTAAACATCTGGTATATCAAGGTTGTGGACCCTCTAGAGGTCACAATTTTGATCCGATTTTGATGAAACTTGAAATGCATGTTTATATCCCAAAGATCTTGGTTCCTTTCGATATTTCTCATATCAGATCGTAACTTCCTGAAATATGGCCCCTGATTTTACCTTTTTTAGCTTGTGGTTCCTCTAGAGGTCACAATTATTATCCGATTTAAAAAATATTCGAATATTGTGGAAATCGGACCAAAACTGCCAGGCAAAATGACACACACCCCCCCCCCCCCTTCATACGCAAATAGTGTAAACATCTGGTATATCAAGGTTGTGGACCCTCTAGAGATTACAGTTTTGATCCGATTTTGATGAAAAATCGCATTTTTAGCTTGTGGTCCCTCTAGGGGTCACAATTATTATCCGATTTAAAAAACTATTCTAATAGGTCACAATTTTGATGAATTTTGATGATAATCGCTCATATCCAAATGTAACATCCTGGAATTTGGCCCGTGATTGTTCGAAAAATTGCAGTTTTAGCTACTAGAGGTCACAATTTTTTTTCGATTGTAAAAACCATTTACCAGCATGAAGGTTGAATTCAAATTTTGGGAAAATTGAAATGAAACTGCCCGACAAAATGACCGCTCTTTGTACACAAATTGTGTAAAAGTATGTAATACATAGATTGTGGACCGTCTAGAGGTCACAATTTTGATTTGATTTTAATGAAACTTAAAACATACCTTTATATCCCAAAGATCTCAGTCCCTTTTGATATTTGCGCATTTCAGACCATAACTTTCTGGATTATGGCCCCTGATTGTTTTTAGCTTGTTCCCTATCCATCTCTTGCAAAATGTGGGCGTATCTTGCCTGGCAGCTGCTGGTTTTTACAGTAGTAACTGATTAAAATATATATAACTATGGTATAACTTCTTGAAAAGAAAAAATCTGACTGATATCCATAACTGGAGATAGAAACTGATCACAAAGTGCTATAATTCATTTAGAATTGAGTTTATATACACATATAATTATTTAAAGCTATGATGTGTTGGAGGTTTTCTTTAGATAGTAATTTAAACTATTAAATCAAAATGCCTACACCTCAATTTTCTTAAATAGAAATGAATTATTCTTAAGTCGTTGATTGATTTTAACAAATTTTAGACAAGTATACAGTTCCTTTTGCAAGAATACCTTTTTGTCGTTTGTTGTGTATTTTTTAAAAGACATTGGGTGTCTTCTAGTCTGACTGAAATATTGTCTCTTTAACAAAAATAAAATTATATTTTATTCCCTATTGATTGTCTGATGGAAATTAAATATTGATTATGTTTTATATAAATATTGTATGTTGTAATTAATAGTATGGCTGATAGAAGTTTTAATGATTTAACACAATATCCTGTTATGCCATGGGTTATATCTGATTATACCAGTTCTACTCTAGGTAAATAGAAACCTTACTCCTTACTCAACACTGCTGTATCAATGCACAAGTACACCTGTATTCCACTGGTCAATCCAATATGCAGGGTTTTATTTGCTACTTTCTTTTTAAATAAATGTGCTGTTATCACTCATACATTTCCTACACAAATTTTTGTGGCTTTGGGTAATCATGTTATCATTTGTAATTGATTGCTTGTAAAGCGCTTGTTGACTAATCGTAATTTGACCCAGCAAACACCCTTCAGTGCAGCAAGGCTTGTGTTACCACTTTAAAGAAAATGGAGTCTAGACTCTAATATGTATATCTAATTGGCAGTGATAATATGATAAAAAAAAAATGAAAATGATTTAAAATGCTGTTGAATTAAATATATATTTGAGAGGGTATTCTTGTTGAGCAAAGGGATTATCATTGTACAGTGCCAAGTTTCAGTAATAATTATCATTCTTAATAATTTCATGCCCTGATTCCGCGCAGAGAATCCAACTTTAAAAGGTATATAAAGGACACTACATGTAATTATACCAAGGCCCATTCAAGTGCTCTTTTTGATGTTTATAAATTGTTGGTTATTATCATTATAGGTTTCAAATACATATATATTGTCATAATTGTATGTTTGCTTACAAGTATTTTTTGTTGTTGACTTGTAAATACATTTATACATTTAAGAAATGTTTTTTTTATTTATAGATCTTAACAATACTTCAACATTTCGAGATTTAAGTAAACCAATAGGGGCTCTTAATTCTGAAAGATTAGAAAGAATTCTGGTAATGTTTTAAATATCTGGTATTATATGAATCTATATTATGATCTCAGATGATAATTGTCTAAATACATGGTTTTTATATGCCATATTAAATGTGGTTGTATGGTCCGTCCTTCAGTTTGTCCGTTATATTTCTGATTAGCGTAATGGAGGCTACAATAATCTATGTATCTCTTTGAAATTCATACGGGTTGTCTAACTCATTACAATGAATAAGCCATCCGATCATTCAAAGATTTTCAATAACTTCAAATTCTTCAATTATGATCCGATCTTTATGAATTTTAATTTTGACTGTCTATCCTATTGAAAGAACAAATCCTTTTGAATTTAATCAATTTTCAATAAAAGCTTCCAAAGATATTCCCCACTGTTAAAAATTCTTTGCACCGTATATATAGTGGATACAATTAAAATTCAATCTTTCTGAAATATATATTGGTGGTCTATCTTATTGAAAGGAAGAACCCTATGGATGCTCAAGATTTTTCATATAACTTCCCAAGTTATTTTCCATTGTTACAAAATCTTGTTAGACTTCAATTAAGATCTGAACTTTGTTTTAGCTCATTATTATTTGGACAACATAGCCACTGCTGGTGGTTTTTTTGCCTGGCAACCTATGGTTACTATTTTGTTTATATAATATACAATTTTACTGTCTTTTCTCTATTACAAAATAATTACAATGTTTCATATATACTCTTCAAAAAAAGAAGGGGATATTGAAATTCAAATACCTATGCAGGTTGCGATATGATAAATCGTCATGGACATTTGACATGCTTTGAGAGTAAGTTCACAGATGAAGAACTTATCGCTCCAACAGAACCACTGAGCTGCACATGTGACACACAATAGTGCCATACACGTGGGAGGGGTTCATTGTCAAATTTGACACATCAAGGAAGGGTTGATGAAACCTGCCGCGTGCTGGTTTATCTATCCATGTTTGCTTTCCTATCGGTTCTTGCATAAGATTTACTGTTTAGCCTATCTTTGCTTTAGTGTGTTTTGTTTAATTTGATCGGGAGACGTGTTCGTAGACGTCAACGTCAACCGACAACACTGCAAGAATTGGCCGTGGCACTGCAAGAGGAGTGGGTCAGATTGCCCCAAATCGTGATTGGACAGTTGATTAGGAGCATGCCACAACAAATTGCTGAATGTCTGAGGATTGGTGGAGCAATTACTCATTATTAAGACAAAAATCAAAAACGTCCATTTTCACTTTTGACTGTGTATCTCTTTGCCAGTGAAATGGGGCCGTCAGATAAGCCGCCCATATGAACTATTTATGTTCATGTGTAGGCAATTGGCCTGTTATAAACATATACTGGTTACCTCTAATAAAAACAGCAGTGCATTTCCGCAGTTTTGTATTGTTTTTGAATATCCCCTACTTTTTTTGAAGAGTATATATATCTTTATATAATGCCTGTATATATAAGATTGTGAAAATTGTTGTATATTCCAGGAAAGATATGTAGACATGCCAGAACCTAAGTTTATGTATGGTTCTCATTATTCTACTCCAGGCTATGTTTTATTTTATTTGGCAAGAAGAGGTAAATTTTTATTTGTAAATTATTTGAACTTGAAATCAGTTCCTGATTCAATTATTAATCAAGGTCTTTAGGACATGTTTTAAAGGATATGGGTGAATTTAATCAAGAATAAAACTAATGTTATTAACCCCGCCTATATTATAGACAAAGTTTTAGCCTGTGATTAAAATTTAAGTATATAAATATGGTATATTTTCAGCACCAGAGTATGTTTTGTGTTTACAGAATGGCAAATTTGATCATCCTGATCGAATGTTTAATGAGTAAGTTTATCAGAGAAAAGAGTTTCCCCTCAGAATTTCTTTTTTTAAAAGTATAATTGTTCAAAAGTCATAAAATGTGCAGTAAATATGAGAGTTTCTTTGGCAATCAAAATTGTACATTATAAACCATTTATTCTTCGAATGTTGTTTTTTTTTCTTTCATATTTTTATATTGTGCCTCCCTTTTTCTATAGTTTACAAGATACATGGAATAATTGTTTAGTGGGAGCAGCTGATTTCAAAGAATTAGTGCCTGAATTTTATGATGGAGAGGGAGATTTTCTCAAACATACCAAGGTAAATGTCATCAAATATAGCAATGGTACTCACCAAGAAATTTATATATGGTTGCTTTTACTTTTAAACAAGGATATGATTGTGCTAATAATCATTAATTTGTAATGTATTCCAATTTTTTCTTTTTTTGTTTTTTTTTTCAGGTTGTAAATTTTGGTTTTCGACAAGATGGCCGCCCAGTTGATGATGTTAAATTGCCTCCTTGGGCAGACGGTATAAAAATATTTATACTTTATAATATTTATTTGGCATTTTCCCATACTTTAAGTCAAAAGTAATATTGAAAATATTTTTTCTTTTTTTTAACAAGAACTGATATACAAATTCTCATAAATTAACATTACAACGAAGAGATTTTATTGTTCATAAATTCTTTTTTTTTTGGTTCGTTTACTGTTCAGTATATGAATATATTATTGATGTTAAAGTTTCTAAACAAGCTCTTACCATCTACCTATGTATCTATCTATTTTTCAATTTGAGTATTTATTTATTTATGATTTTCAATGTAAACTTTCATCTTATATTCAGATCCGGCTGATTTTATCAGTAAATTAAGACAAGCTTTGGAATGTGATTATGTATCTCAAAATCTTCACAACTGGATTGATTTAATATTTGGCTATAAACAAAGAGGATTAGAAGCAGAAAAGGCTAGTAATTGTAAGTACACAGATTTTATTTGTTGTAGTTGTACTGTAAAACACAGAGAGCTGTTATTTCACTAAAACTTGTATACTGCTAAGACTAGGAATTGATGCAAACACGAAATTAATGTGTTGAATGCAACATGTCCTCTTACTGACATTAATTTCTATATATCGGAAAAAAACACAAAAGTAGCTCTATAATTGAGTGGTATAGTCAAATTTAACAATAAAATAATCAGTGTTGAATAATTATAAGATTGTGATAAAATACAATGATATAAATATATTCAGTATGTATTTTGTGTGTTTCAGTATTCTATTATTTAACATATGAAGGTGCTATAGACATTGACAGGTAAGTTTATTTTATTGCTTCAAGTTATTATACTTTAGCTCAAGCATGCATAATTATCTGGTATTAAGTTTCAGACTTATTGCCCATGTCCACTTTGTAAAATCTTGTGAATACTCTAGAGATGAAAGTTATCATCCGATCTGAATTCCAACAATTTTGGCTAATTAATTTTAGAGTTATAGTCATGTGATTAACCGTGTGAGTGGGGGGGGGGCACATGTCAGTGGTAGAGTGGGGGCTGAATTAAGAAAAAAAGCTTATAGTCCAGTCCTCCTATAGACTGTAGAAATATTTTTAAAATAGATTCAATTTGGTGCATTCTGAGGTATTTTCTGGACGTGTAAGATAAGTTAAATAAAATATAGATTTTCAAATCTAAATTAGAATCTCTCGGTCGCCCTATGGAACTTTTGATCTTGTACTCAACCCAAAATGGCAGGGGCAGGGGCAACCTTATTGTCTAGCAACCTTTTTGGTTGGCAAGTCGTTATTGTGCCAATATTATTTACTAATTTTTTTTATTTGGTGTATGTTTTTAGTTATAAAGATTTTAATGAAAGATCTAGCATGGAAACGCAGATCATGGAATTTGGCCAGACGCCTAAACAGTTGTTCATGACACCTCATCCACATAGGTTTTCATCTATGCCTATACCAAGATCAGCTATATCACAAGATTGTAAAAATAATAATACAGTTACTACTCAACCAAAAGTCAATGGTAATATATTTTACATGTATCGGTTATACTTTTTAATGTATCATGGCCTTCCTTTCATACTGCTACTGTTGGCTATGCTTGGTTATAATCTGGCCATTTTTATCGTATTGCAGCGGTGACTAACCTGTTATGTTCCATATGCCAAATGTTATCTGTACAACTTCCAGAGAATAAATTAAGAACAAAAGTTAACTTTTTGTTCAGTTTTGATTTTGGCAGATATATCACGTTACTATAGTATATGTAGCAATGGTTTATGAGCTCATAAGGCTTGTCACCATTGCTTCAGAGGCCAGGTAACATGCTTGCTCCCCCTCCCCTACACACACTTTTAATGTTTAATGTTCATTGTATATAAATTATAATATTTTAGATATGCCTGAAGAACCACCTATTGAATTATCAAAATCAATTGTAAAAACAATGTCATTAGAAGATCTTCAAAACATGGATATATATTTACAGTACAGTTTACATAGAGAGTATGTATATGATAATAAAATTTTTGAATGAATCATTTTCAAATGTGTTTTTTTTTTTCTCCATATAATTTATTCTATCTGTTATAAATTTGTAATACATGATATAGTTATTTTTACAGAGCTGTTACTGATGCCAGATTATCGCCAGATACTCCAAATATTTTTTCAGTTTCACAAGGTAAATATTGTTTTGATATTTCTCAGTTTCACAAGGTAAATATTGTAGTGATATTTTCTCAGTTTCACAAGGTAAATGTCATTTGGTGGTAATATTTTAACTTGGTGGAGACATTTTGAAACAATGCTATTTGCATATTTTCATTATATGCAAAAGGTATTTTTTTTGCACGGGGTGGGGGGGGGGGGGGATACCTCAATCTGCCACCCTTTAATATCATTTTAAGTAATTTCAAATTTTGAGTCTGCACCTCCTCTGAAACCCAAACCAACTGGAATTCAGTATACACCACTGATGGTATATGTGGAGATGATCAATAAATAGAATGATCATATTTTAAACAATTATTTTAATTGTCAAACTTGTAATAAGGTGATTTGTATCAAACAGATAATTTATTAAAGATGTACTCATTAGAAGATAGAAGACAGCTACGTAGTGTTAATATGTCTAGTATGGTTAGTATAATTTACTCAGTCTATCGGAGCATTTAAGTACTGGGGCAAATGCTTCACTGCTGAAAACAGTTTCCCCACTCCTTTATAAAAATTAAAAAAGCAGTGGAGCAAGAACTTGGCTTCCTTTACCCCCAATGTCTAGAACCCCCTATGCCTCATTGCTTCTGATCCCTTAAAAATGCCTTGCTCACTATTCTGTTCATAATCTTCTAAAACCTCACCTTCTAGTTATAGAATAAATAAATGCTTGCTATTTCATGCCATTAGTGAGCATCACAGTTTATATTCTGTATGAAATCCTAATGAATGTTATATGTGTATATATTTATAATTTTCAGGCTTTATCATCCTGTATTGTAATGCCTGATAATAAAACTATAGTAGTAGGATCATGGGATAATCATGTGTAAGTATACTTTATTAAAGGTTGATTGGGTGGTTTAACATGTATATCAGAAGGTCTGCCATTAGATGCATGTGTTATGATTTAACTCCCAGTCCCATATTTGTATGTGATAAGGAGTAAAGTTGGTTGTCTAACCTCATCAGTTTTCTCCCACAAAAGTGATATCACAGACAAGACCCATGAGCATCAAAGCTTGCTCGTGTATATTAGAATATGATTTTGCAATCTTTCAATTTGCGGCCTCTGGCCATGGATTGGTTTAGCGTTTGGTAGTAAATAATTAGACTAGAACTGTGTATATTTCAGGTATTTTTATAGTATAGAATATGGAAGAGTAAAAGAAACTTTATCAGCACATGATGATGCAGGTATGTGTCTCTTCTTCGCTAGTAAATCTTGTAAGAATAAATCGTACTAAAATTGTTTGTGTTGAATACAACCATATTGAAGTAGGATGCCACTTTTTTTGCAGTGGTCATGTTTATTGATAACTACTGTCTTATAGAAACAAAAACAAACCTTATTTAAAAAACCTGATTGTTCTGTTATTTGATGAACCTGATGAATATGTAATGTAAGTTAGATTAGTGATTAGTGTGGTGTGTGTGTATTTACAGTATCAAGTTTAGCATGGAAATCAAATTTATTATATACAGCTTCCTGGGATTCTACAATCAAGGTCAGTTTAGGCCATATAAAAAAATATTCTGGTTCTCAGATAATACTTAATCACTTAAAAAGATAAAAAATCAAAACATAAATTGAATCAAGTACGCAACCCTGATAAATGTTAATGACGATCATAAATAATACTGGATAATGGTACATTCCTATAAACAACATAATGAGATTAATGTACTGGTATTACCTTGAAATGTGATGTTTATAAGAAGTCATATAGCCCAGTAGTGATCCTTTGTAGCACCATGGGTCTTTCTGTCAGACATGAAGAGCGGGCCATTGATTCCGGTCGCCACATCCTACGTACAACCCATGCATCTTTTCTTACTACATATCTTAGTAGCCTTGTGATCGTCTAGTATTTTCACTTGTTGTCTTTGCTTCCCCTTCACATTGTGTATTTACTTCTTACTGTTTTCTTAAGACGTTTGTCTTTCCAGGAATAACAATGCAACAGTTCGTTTTTACATTTTATATATCATAGCCGGATACATGGATACAAGCATAGTATAGATTACAATACTAAAGTCATTCTCAAACACTAGCCAGCCAGACTCGATGGGCGAGTCTGCTGATAGAAATTGCTACATCTTTTTCCTTCTGGAATCAAGCTGCTGTCTAAGAACTCGGACAGTAACTGTTTTACATAGTAGAGTTGCAGACCAATTCAGTGAAAATTGACAGAAATGTATTTGTAGTCTCTTATAAATGCATGTATTTTCAAATTTGTAGGGGCAGATAAGTGACATAATATATTGATTCTGCATTACTCTCAGAATGCTTGATTTCTGTGTCCCTCATTACATTATGATTAAACATTTATTATAGATTTGGGAATACATCCAAGATTCTTCCACAAACACATTCCAAACTCCAGTATATATGGTAAGAAGAAGTAATATTATGAAATGTGTTGAAGTTAGACAATGAAATGTATGGAACGATACTGGAATATAAAGTGGTAGTCATAAAATATTATTACAAGTCAATTGTTTGTTTGTTAGTGGTCCTTACAACACTAAACTACTTGTAAATAACATTTGATACACTATACAAATTGTCAGCATTTAGTTATAGTAGAACACTAGACTCAAGACAGTCACTGACAGAGACTGGCAAACAAATAAAAACTATAGCGCTTACAGGGTGTAATGGATAAAGTTTTAGTTTTCATGTTGAGCAAAGAACATACACATTTTATGTCTGCATGATGTCAGGTTCTTGATAACTGGATAACTGGTTCATACATCATGTTATTTCTCACTAACAGCTTTTACCAACAGTAACAAACACACAATTAATCTGTACAACTAGTCTGATTAACTAACTTCAATAGCTGTAATAACAATATATTTGTATTAAGATTAATATTCATAAATGTTTGTAACAAAATGAATGTATATTTTCCCAGTCTCAACTAGATCATGATTGTGGTGTAACATGTTTTACATTAGATGACCCAGTCAGTTTTTTGGTCTCGGGTACTATTGATGGTAGTCTGTGTATATGGGATTTATCACCATCTCATAATCATTATATGAGTAATCAAATTCCAGGTAAGTTGTTACAATTGTTATAACAAAGAGAAAGGTCTATTAACAATCATCCCCACCCCCAAGGGGAGTTAGGTGGCCGAATGGATCACAAAGTCTGTCATTGACACAAGTGGTGGGGTTTCGATTCCCTAGTAGGGTCGCCTGTCCAACCTCATGGGTTTTCTGTGGGTCCTCCGGTCTCCCCCCCCACCCCCAATCGTATGTGATATTTGGTGTTCTAAAATGTTGGAGTAAACATATCCTGACTTATGTAGAGCACTTGTAATTACTTATTTAAAAAATGAAATGGGGCTTAACATCCTACTGTTCAGCTTTATTTCAAAAACGATATTTGTAATTTAATATTTATCGACTAACATGGACTACTTTTATATATATAATTGTTGTTACTTTATGTTATTAGTTCATCAAGACAGAATAAATGCCATTCTCATCAGTCCAGATAGAAGACGAATATTAAGTTGTGGAGCTGATAAATTATTAAAAGTTATAGACACAGCAACATGTACAGAAATATTCACTAAAGATATTCATTCTGAATACTTGTAAGTTTAATTTACCTGTAACTTCATATCTCATAGGACAAGGCTGTCACTCATGAGTTAAAACAATATTTTGGAGAGAAATTGGAGATCAAAAATTAATGTGTTTTTAATGGTGAGACCCTAGATATATTTCATCTAATTCTGTGTGGAAGGCTCTAAGACTACTAAAAGCTGTTTACTATTATTAAACCAAATCCCAAGCAACTATCTGAAGCTCTTGGATTTGTTTATTAAAGAAAAAACAACATTCAGTTGACTGGTGGAGATTGAGATGAGCTTCTTTATTAGTAATCAACTTTTCCCTGAATACACCTATCTATAGTATAAATCAGACATATGCACAGTCTTAACTTCCCGCTTTACATTTAAGGTTGGGGCAGGTATTGTTTACAGCGAGTAGTAAAATGTTGCAGATTAATATTGTACTTTAATTTAATTGCAGATTAATATTGTACTTTAATTGACTCTTAAAGTTTACCAACATCATCAAACAGTCACTGTGTTGGTAATCATTTCCAATTTTGACCTGAACCTTTTGTATTTCTTCACATTTTATTCCTTGTCTTGTATATTTAGAAATATTTTCTGAGAGTCATTAAAAACAGGAACTCCTACTTTAACTCAAAATAATTACTATATGTCTAATTATTTTAGATGTATGAATTGGGTTGGATCTATTGCTATTATGGGAGATTCTGTTGGGTTTATTTATGTATGGGATATTGAAAAGGCACAGCAAGTACACAGATGGAAAGCACATGAAGGTATGATTTATTGTCATTTCTAGTAAATCAAAAATCCTTTTGAAGGTCAATATTGAAAATGAGAAATGGAAAATGTATGTGTGTTGGTGGCAGATTAATAAATAAATGATTTACTTCACTTAGTTAGTGTGTCATAAATGTAGTGTTGTTGTAGTATGATGATGAGTTAGTTGTATTTTACGTCCGCTTCCACCGAGGTGAAATCGCAGACAACGTGTTGTAGTATGTGAGCTGTGTATATGTATGAAACGAGATTAGTGCTTTCTGTCATGAGTAAACCCTTGCCCCAAACATGTCATGTGGGCATTGAAACATAGAAAATGATACAGCACTTATTGAAAGGAGAGTTATATTTAGGGGAAATAAGGTATTGAAGAAGTCACAATATACATAAAACACTTTTAATGGACTGAGAAATCCATACTTTAATATTAGTGTAACATAGATATTTTTCTTCCAAACATCCATTTCCATACATATCTCTAAAAATTCCACTGTATCTAAATTTGATTTGAAATTAAAATTGAAGAATATTTATGATTACAGGTGCTGTAATGAGTTTAGATATAGGACAAGATAGATGTATTTTAACAGGTGGGGCTGATAAATCTGTTAAATTATGGAAACCAAATATATAAAACATCAACATTATGATCTATATACAGAGGTTTTATAGGTAGATAAAAGGTAGTTATGTAGTAGAGAAGTGATAAAAAGCTCACATACTGATCTTTAATACTCATTAAAGGCAGACCATAACAATGTTGACAACAAGGAGTGAAAGTAACAAGGAAATACTCCAAGTTATTATATATTTTAATTTGCCACACAATTCATTTGATTCAGTAGGGGTTGGTTGGCCGAATGGTTAAAGCGTGCATGTTTCATCATAAAGTCTGTCATTCTCATTCAGTCAAGTGGGGATTTGAGTTGAGTCGCCTGTCCATCCTCATGGTTTTTCTCCAGGTCCTCCAGTTTCCTCCCACTGCTAAACACCCTTACGTGCAAGCGAATTAATGAAATAAAATTAAACTATATGTTAGTACCGAAATGACCTAGTTTGTGTCATGTAGACTTAAATCCCATTTCTTTCTCTCGCTCTCTCTCTCTCTCTCTCTCTGATTCATTAAGATAGAGACTCAGTGTTATTAAGCATAAAATATTTAATATATTGTTAATGACATTATTACTTATGCATCTTTTATTATCAAGAAAGGTACTTAAAATGTGTGGACTTATATCTGTGGGGTCTATCTATCTTGAAATGAAATGAAATGGGATTTTATTTCCACCCCCAATTCCACCGTGCTAATGAAGACAGTCATATACCATGCAGTGTGCTGTGATGGAGATTTTACCCAGAAAGTGGCTGGATCTGTTTTCCACCCTTCACAGTACATTTAAATTAAAAGAGATCTTATTTAAGAAAGAAATAGTTCTTTTTCGTTAGATATTGTTCAAAAACATATCAAAAGTGCCTATGATTAGAATATGTTATACAGAATAACATCTGGTAATTTACTTTAAGTGAAGGATATTTTACAACTGCAAAACCAAATTTGTATGTTTTGTCCAAAAGTCTGACATTGAATTTATTGTTCCTTATCCAAGTCAAGAACTAGGACAGCTATGGTGCCAGTATTTCTTTATTTTGTAATCATAGAGAAACTATATTTAGTACAATTAAACACAGTCAATACACATGTCATCTGCACCTTGGACCAATATACATCAACCTACTGTGAAGTTAAGTCTAAGTGTTATTCCTAAATAACTCATAGTGAATATACATGTAACTCCTACCCTACTATAGTATTATTTCCCAGTTATACACAACAAATATATCTACATGAATATTACTTGTTTCTTATAATCAATCTTATCAGTGCTGTATAACATTATATGTCTGTCCACTACTGATTTGATCAACCTAAGCACACATGCAGCTGGTTGAAAGCAGTTGATCCTAGTTGTGTAGTTGACATAAGCCCTACTGCACAGAAATATATATATATATAAACTTCTTGGTAGCTAAGGTTCTTTGTGTTCAGAATGCTACTTTTAAATCAAACTGATAGTAATAACCCCATATTGTCTATATGCTTGTCTTTTTGTTATCAAAAGCCTATGTGATTTAAAGAAATGCTAGTGCTTTGGAGAACATTTTTGATCTATTGAGATTTGGCAAAATAGATACATTAGATTGTATATAAAATTTGAGGCTATGGTGATTTTTATCTGCATACTCTTCTGTCCAATGCTTTTCTCTGAATAGGGTTTAGATTTGACAACCATATAATTTGAAATGAATTTAATTACATTTAATTTCTAGTTGACAGTGATTATGCCTCTTTAATTACTGTCAACAAGGAGATGAAGGTCAGAATTGATTTGCTCATAAGTGAATTTGAAGAATATATTAATTAATACTATTGCCAAAGTTCTTTTTTTCTTTATAAATTTGTCCCTTTCAACATTGTCAAAACAAGTGTAAAATACTTATTGTTATGTTTTTCTTTATTTGTTATTCTTTATTGTTAAGCATTACTTATCAATCAACATAATGTACAATTTAATATTATAATGTTTGTTATCAGAGAAATATAGGTTATACATGTAGTTGAATTTTAAATATATAAATGTATTTACTTTTTGTTGATAAAGGTTGATTTGGTGAAATATGTTGTTTGTTATAATTTATTTAAGAATCTACATTTTACATGGATAGGAGCAGTCACAAAAGAAATTATTGCTTTTCATTTTTGTTTACAGGATTGTTCAATAGCGGATCTAGAAACTGTGAAGGGGGGGGGGGCAATTTTATGCAAGTTAACATAGCGATCAACCTGAAGAGGGATTTCAAAGGTCATTGCTCGGAGTAAATTCTTGTGAACGAGAGGAACTGAAATGGGACAGAATCTCGAGATCTGCTTGTCAATTTTGTCTCTTTTGTGAGAGTTGACGGAACATTTGTACAGTCTGTCGCCCCAAGACCCGCGCACTAGTGGTACAACTAACTGGGCGGTTCAATATAATCGTGAATATGATAGTGATGAGATAGTATAAGACCACGGAGGAGTGGCAGGATGGTGACATAATGGAATTTCAGATAGCGACGTACAATATTTAACTGAGCATTTAAATCTCCTTACATTCATTCAGTAATAATATTGAAGAGCAATTCGCAGATGATGCCGACGAAGTCCTAATATCGCGGCGGGACGATTTACCCAATACTACCCAATACCACCCGAATACCACTCAAATATCACCACATACTACCCAATACTACAACATAATGGTGCCGAATGAGCATATTACTTGATTTATTCCAAAAAGAATGAGATATATCTTTGGAAATGTACTTCAAATGTGATTATCTAAGTCTGGCTGTTCCATGTGCCTCCCTATATCACCCAAATCAAGCAAATAATAACCCAATACTACCAAATATTTATCAAATACTACTTAATTCTACCCAATATTATAAAATACAAACCTAATATCGTCCTGGGGGGGCGGTGGTGGTTGGTGCCCAAAAAATGTACATGTAGTTAGGTTCTTAGTATGTTACATAATAATAATAAATTCGCTGTTAAATTGGACACATTCAAGAACACAATATTTTTTATACAACTTTTACAAAGTACAATTGTGTGCCCAAATTTTCACAGCATTTGGTGCGCCCCCCAGCCCCCCCCCCCCCCCCAGCTCGTACGCCTATGATAATTGCAACGAATATTCGATAATTTACAGAAAAATAAAATATTTACCCAGTTCTCTCCCTTTAAAACCGACAAATAGATTTTAGATTGCTACTCGGATTAATCATCTTGTTGGGCTTTGCAGTTTGTTTCCAAGACAAAAAAGAGTTTTTAAAGAAGTAAACAAAGATTTAAAAATGCATTAAATAAAATCAGTTTATAAAATAAACAGTCAAGCATCCAAATAAAAGAGTATTTTAGAGGTTGATATAAAAATGTTCATTTAACGGTCTCGTGGCCCACTCAAAAGTCTTCTTATACTATAAATATTTCTTCATCCTGTAAAAATCATTTGGGTATAATATGTCAGGAAAGCACACGAATTTATCTTTATATCTGCCTTTTAATGACTTATTAACGCGTCTTCTTTGTCTTTTAAATGATTCCGGTTCCAAACCAGTCGCCTTTGAAAAAAAAAACCTCTTGTCAAACTTTCACCGATTCTTCGAATATCGACACTATTGAACAAATTCTAAGTATTCTACGGTATATACCCACAGGTGACGATGTCGCGGCGATGTCATTACCACCTAAATAAATAGACACAGTCACCAGTTTCATCCCACATATTAATATGCATATGTTTATATTTATTTTTTCGTGTCAACGATTAAGTTATTGCATATATACTTAATGGGCGATGTTTTAGTTAAAAATTAACGAAATTGTACATGTTTATTACAAATGTGTAATGCTCTACTCGTATATACATTCCACCTGACTTAACAATTAATCAATGGGGAAAAGATTGTTGATTGGGCAATCAAGTTCTGGTTTATTTATATTATCAAAGAAACCGACAGAGCTGTAACAGGCCGCAAATGATAGTTTTGATGAACTGAGATGTGTCGCGTCGAGAATTACACACTAGAAAGAAACATGTGCAATTTTGTTAATTTTCAAATAAAACATCGTGCAGTAAGTAAATGCGCAATAACTTAACAGTTGATATGAAAAAATGAATATAAATATTATGCAATTGTTGTGTTAAAGCATTAATTTTAAAATGAATACAAACAATCGACACTAACTAGGTAATTTCGGGACTAACATATAGTTAAATATTATTTCATTAACTCGCTTGAGCGAAGGGGTGTTTAACAGTGAGATGAAACCGGGGGACCCGAGAAAACCCACCTTGTTTGACAGACGACCTTATCAAGTGGTAACAGATAGATGGGTCATTTTGGGAATAAAATGTGGTATATCGTCATACTTGTTTTTCTTATTTTAAGTTTGTCGATTGAAAACCTACCGCAAAGCCAAAGAAGATGATTAAACCGAGTAGCAATCTAAAATCAATTTACCGGTTGTAAAGGGAGATAACTGTGTAAAAATTACAATTTTCTGCAAAATATCGAATATTCGTTGCAGTAATTATACTAATGTGCTGTTATTTGACAATATTAGGTTGTTATTTGATCATATTTGATAGTATTTGATGAGTATTTGGTAGTATCGGGTTATTATTAGCTTTTTTGGGGTGGTATAGGGAGGCAAATGGAACAGCCAGACATCGGTATCGCATTTGAAGTACATTTCCCGGGATATAACTCTCTATTTTTGAAAAGAAATCAAATGATATGTCAATATTGCATCATTATCTTGTAGTATTGGGTAGTATGTGGTGATATTGATATGTTATTGGAGTGGTATTGGGTGGTATTGGGTAGTATTGGGTAAATCGTCCCACCCTTACTAATATCGTGCCACACGGATCCGCAGTGAATATTAACTTTTTTCTTTCGACAAATTAAATTCTGAAACATTTTTTTTTAGTATTAGAAAAATAAATAAAGGTGTTTGAAGTATATTTTGATAAAAAATATTCCATATTTAGCGTAAATAGGTACAGAAAATAGTACGCGGAGGCGTAAAATGGGTAAAACGATATAATTTTGCCCGTACCAGTTCATATTACTACGTTCAATGTAAACAACGCACGTGTGACCATCAATTTGACGATTTTCCGTTTGTTTACTCTGAATTCTTTCAGAAGTACATTTTTTACCGTCTAATCTGATTGACCTGCTCGTGTTTGTTTTAAAACAACAAAAACAAGCCACAGAAGTAATCTTTTTTGGCGTTATCGATGCCATCTTGCTTTGTTGGTAAACATTGTGATGTGACGTCACCCTTAGAACTACAGCGGTCTGACCTTTTAAAGGTCAGTCATCTTGGACAGAGATAAAAGACGGATGTCGCATTAGGTCTGTAAAACAGATTGATATCGTGCTTCACACAGCTTATTTTAAGAGTTGTTTCCCTTGAACTACTAGTCATAGCCAATCTTTTAATTTCGCAACAATATCTCGCATGATAGTTAAATGTTAAAATATCCAAAGTTGACAAATTTCCTTCATAACTAAATTCCGACTTACGCCTACAGTACATCTGCAGTGGCCTTGAAATCCTAAAATTATAACGTAAAAATCTGGAGTCCAAAACTTTAAAGATTTGATAGTGATCATTAGATTTATTTGTAGGCCTACAGTTAATTCAATGCGGGCAGGGGATCATGTTTCAAAGGAATTACTTTACAGCGCGGTATATTTGCCTCTCTCGAGATTAAACTGATAAAAATTGGGCGAGATATTAAACATAAGGGTGCTTATCATTAGTAGTCTTTTAGTGTCAACTGTCAAGTCCCAGGAGGAAATTAGTAGGCCTATAATTTATGTAAGATGCTGACTGACTGTGAAAGGTAAAGACACTATTATAATTAAAGGGGATTTTAACTACAATCAACAATATCGTATTTCTCATGTCTCAAACGTAAAATTGGTTCACTTAAATTTAAATCTAATTTCCCCTTTCGTTTTTAAATACCCTGTAGGTAAGTTTATATATAGGCTACCACTGTGGGCTGCACAGATCGATAACTTTTTTTTTATTTAAAAGAGAACAATATACTTTCAGATAATCTCCACTGTCAAAACTTTATTATCTAAATTAAATTGTTGCAGTGTCTTAATATAGAATGATCAGGCACGGTTACTGGTTCACACCCCTTCCCGGTATCAGGATTTTTTATTTGTTTATTTACAAGAAGAATACCACTCGGGATTAACACTGTTTACAATGTTATCACTTGATTGTCCTCATCAATTCTGTTTCAACCTGCGGTATCACTATACCTAATTTACTTATCCACATTTCTCGTAATATTACACTCATTCTTTATGAATTCGACCAGAGACCGTTCCGAAAGGAACTGACACACGTCTTAGTTTTGACTGTCCGAACGGTTGGTTCTTTTCGGGTTTGGGGGACGATCATTTTTTATTAAACGCCTTAAACATTTTATATTTTATTATAGCTTTCTTCGACCTGTGAAAACACGAGGAATAAGCAATTTTTGTACCACATATACACCATTATCAACACAGCTAGAATAAATTTGTCCCACTGCCACCCTCCCGTATTTATTGCGCGAATATATGAAAATGAGAGTGTGGGGGGGGGGGGCACTATCTGAATAGGAATTGGCATAGCCTATATTAAACTCCTCTCCCTTTCGTTAGATTAACGCCCGGATCCATTCGCTTGATTTTCAACAATGAATGAATGAAATGATGTTAAACGTCCTACTTTTCTGCACCTACCGGGTTATTGAATACGGCTATGGGAGGGGGGGGGGGATTTTAACTGAACAGCAACTGAATTCGAACTGCCAAGTGTTCGTGTACATGCCAGTGAGAACGCTGGGTCTCTGTTTTTTGTTCCATCCGCACGACAAGACGCCGTTCCTTGCCAGGGCCTCCGTTTAATACTTAATAGCACCCTGACACCAGGAAACCACCCCTGATGGCCTGATAATGTCTGTGCAGTTTGCAGATCTGCGTGTAGTGCCTTCCTCTC